TTTGAAATGGTGTATCTTTGGCTATGTGTATTTTCACCAAAAAAAAAAAGAGGTTGAGAAGTTAGAGGGTTGATATGTTGTGGGGTTGTTAACCAATGATATAAAACAACATGTGTACTTCTGTTTCATGAGAAACTATTTGTTCTGTAAGCCTTCACCTGAAGTACAATAAAAAAAAAATTAAAAAAAAAATGTTGACACACTGTGAAAAATATAAATAATGTCACTGAACAACCTGTATAGAAACTGTCACATGGGAATCTATTTTGCTGTGTAAACTTTAATCAAAAAAAAAAAGAAACATAGAATGATAAACTTAAGATCTGTGCATTTCACTGTGTGTAAACATTACCTTAAAAAACATTGAACTCTGTTAATAATATTATGCTTAGTGTTTAAGGGTGACATATACTGGTGACTACAATTTACTCTGAAGTGCAACCAAAGAATAAATGAAATGGATTAATGGATACATGAACGGATGGACAAATGGAACAACGTGATAAAACACACAGCAAAGTGTTAACTGTAGAATCTAGATGGTGGATAGATGGGTATTCATTGCAGAATTCTTTTCACTTTTCTAAAAGTTTGAAATTTTTCATAATATAGCAATGAAAATTATACAGACTGTATGACATATGCAAAATACCCTTTGGAGAGTCCTGGGGGATCACCTCCAAGAGCTGAGCAGTTATCATTCACAGAAGCTAAAACTGAGGAATAATGAGATATCAACGTGACTGTGAATCAAGACCAATGTGCACAGGGCACTGACATGCCCTGGGCAGAGGAAACAGCAGGCATTTCAACTGAGTCCCCACCACCCACAAATCACAAAGGCAGATGCATCAAATTACAGATTTTGCCTTGTAAGTCAATTGTTTCTCATGCGGGCAACTATGTACGGTAAATTAACAACTGAAAAAATAAATAAACCAGTTGCCGTCAATTCTGACTCATGATGACCTCGTGTTTGTCAGAGCAGTACTGTGCTCCATAGAGTTTTCAAGGCTGTGACCTTTCAGAAACAGATCGCCAGGCCTTTTCTTCCAAGGCCTGGCCCACCAACCTTTCTGTTAGTAGTCCTGAGCTTAACCGTTTGCTCCATGCAGGGACTACAGTAGAGTCTTAATGATTTAGCAACAGTTAATGATTCTCCCAGAGTCCCAGCCGTACAGTGGTTAAAAGCTTGGCTGCTAACCAAAAGGTCAGCAGTTCGAATTCACCAGCTGCTCCTTGGAAACCCTGTAAGGCAGTTCTACTCCGTCTTATTGGGCCACTACGAGTCAGAATCAATTCAATGGCAACAGGTTTTGGTTTAATGATTCTCCCAAGCAACGAAAAGGTAAGCTAGTCCCAAAATAAAGTGAAGTCCTTTTAAATGCATAAATTTTGTTTTATGAAAAACTCACTATATTGTCCGTATTTTTCTCAATTCACCAAGTATTCATAAAAACATCAGTGTGAACCAAGTTTTAGCAACCACTGAGTACAGAAAGCATCCTGGCCCCAAGAAGCTGAGTTCTAACCTTGACTCTGCCATTAACTAGCTGTGTGTTCTTAATTAAGACACTCCAACTCTCTGGTTCACTTTGATTAAGAACTGCATGAAAAACTGAACTATCCTATAGGCATACAGTAAAGGACAGACAACCGTGGAGAGGTTTTCCAGGACCTTAGAGAAGAATGTCAGTCTTCTCACAGAGAACCATTAAAGCAATCGATGAGCACTGTAGCGTTAATACCCCAGTGCATAAGCACTAGTAGTCCCTGGAAGGAGCCCTGGTGGCACAGTGGTTAACTGCCTGGCTGCTAACTGATGATCCACTGGAGAAAGCTGCCGAAATCTGCTTCTGACAGCCTTGGAAATCCCATGGGGTAGCCCTACTCTGTCCTATAGGGTCGCTATGCATTGGAATGGACTTGACGGCAACAGGTAGGAGTCCCTGGGTGGCACAAATGGTTAAGCGCTTGACTACTAGCAGAAACACTGGCTGTCTGAACCCATACGGCGGCACCTGGGAAAACAGGTCTGGCAATCTGCTTCTGAAAGTAACATGGGGTTACTGTGAGTCGGAATTCACTCGATGGCAACAACAACAATCTTAAGCACTAGTAAGGTCAAAAGAGCACTAGGCAAGATGAAAAAAATATGATTCTAGTCCTCTCTCTGCCATTAACCAGTGGCCCTGTGAACTGGGCAAGTTCCTTAGACTCTCTAAGCCAAATAAGGACTCAAACCAGATGCTCTTTTATCTATTCCAACCACCTGAGGAGTGTGTCCTTTGAGACTCCACACCCCTTGGCACATGCCAGGAATGCATCTGCCTCCACCACTGGGCTGAAATTCTACTCATCCTAAACGCTCATGTTCAGATATCATCCCCTTTGGGAAGCCTTCCAACCAAGTCTGTCACTCCCTTTACACATAATCTGTAGCAGGGCCCTCACCACCCCAGATGGTAATCATTGGTTGATCAGTTTTGTCTCCGACTAGACCGCAAGTTTTCAAAAGCGTTGCTCTTGTCTCATTAGGTTTTGTACATCTTGCCCTACCACAGTACCTGGCATATGCAGGTACTCAAAGAATCCCTGTTGAATAATGCATCAATTAATCCCTAGCTCTAAAATTCGAGGCTAGTTTTTTTTTTTTTAAGTGCAAATGAAATAATGAATGTGAACGTGCTTTTCTTTAGTCACTCGTTGTGCGTACAACGCAGCACTCACTGTGCTTAGTGCTAGGGACGCTGAAATGAGAAAGTAAGGTCCCTGCCCCACGGCGACCCACGAATATGAAAGCTTGACACCAAAACCAAACCCGCTGCGGTCGAGTAGATTCCAACTCATAGCGACCCTATAAAACAGAATAGAACTGCCCCGTATGGTTTCAAAGGAGCGCCCGGTGGATTCGAACTGCCGACCTTTTGGTTAGCAGCCAAACTCTAAGCCACTACGCCAGCAGGGTTTCCGTGAAAGCTTTAGGAATGTCGAAATTGGAGCTTCCCACTTCCCCTTCCCACCTGTCTCCCATCCCCCACTTCCTTTCTTGCAGCTGTAGCTCTCTTCCTCTTTCCCCTGGCCCCTTCATTCCTCCCTGAAGCTGTGACCTCTGTGCCAGCTGGCAACAGTGCAAAACCCGCCGCCAACCACCCACATCCTGATGCCGACGACAAACGCTGCAAGGTTTACAAGCATTACTGGAAGCCCGCCTGCCCTCGCCCCAGAACTCTCTCTGCTCCCCGCCAATGTAACAGTACTTCTGGACAGATACCCCCGCGTCTCGTGATCAGTGGTACGGCCTCTCTGGACGCCTCCGCGCGAGGGAAGCTGGGGCCGTTATTCGCGAACCCTCGATCCGCTGGGGGGGCTCAGGGTTCACCTGCGTGGACCGCTCCTCCTGCCAGCGCTTCATCTGGTCGCTGGCTGGGTCCCGGTTGTCCGCCATGGTGTCCGAGTTAGGCTGCAGAACGTTGCAAGCTGCCTCCGGTCAGACGTCTTCACCCTATGCAGGCGAACGCACAACAGGCACGCCACTGAAGTAGGAGACCGCTGACCCTGCCAATCAACACCGCCCCTCGTCGGGAAGGGTGACTCCTGATTGGACACTCGAGTGCTAAGCGGCATGCGATTGGATGCCCAATAGGGGCGTTTGTGAGTGCGGAGGGCAGAAGAGGAAGGCTGGCGGGGCAGGGGAGGCAAAGACCTAAGGACTGGGAGAGACTGGGGTCCAGGGTGAAGTATAAAAGGTGGGAGGCCCGCCACTCCTGATCACCGCACATACAGCGGGGCCCCAGAACTCTAGGATTACCGAACCTGGGAAGGGCCTCGCGCTTTGGGATTTGACGCTCGGCCCCGGTTATCAGCATCCGCCAGGGTACCTTTGGAGGGACGCTGCGGTTGGTGGCTTGCCAGTTTTAATGAGGGAATGCTTAGACTATACAGGGTGAGGCTTTGGACTCAGCAATTACGCCTTCAGTTTTTAAAAGTCACAAATCCTGGATTGAATTCATCTGCGCAAAATTAAGTTTGTTGTACCCCCATATAAGTATTGTTGGCGACTAAAAAGTTTGATGAGATTTGGAATAAACGCAAAGACTGATTCCACAATTCAGTATAACCAGTAATCTTACTCTCGAAATTTACATTTTTTATTCTTTATCGCAGACTATATGTATAGTTGTTGTTCTTTTTAGGCCATCAAGTGGATTTCTACTCATGGCGACCCCACATGTTGAGAGTACAACTGCTCCATAGGGTTTTCAAGGATGTGACCTTGAAACAGATGGCAGGCCTGTCTTCCCAAGTGCCTCTGGATGGGTTAAACCACCAACGTTTAGGCTAGTAGCCAAGCACTTAACCGTTTGCACCATCCAGGGACTCCGTATGTATAGAAAACCATGCCTTTTTAAAGCATACAGAAAAATAAAACATTGACAAGTTCTTGTTGATCTTAACAGTCTAAAATCTATAGTAAGAAAGTTAAGCCTTTTTAGGCATATTTTTGGCTTAGCAGTCCCCTTTTTTGAATATCGGTTACATCCTAGACATTGCTAGATAGTTACCAGGCTGTATAATTTAATCCTCACCACCCCAGGATGAAAGTTTTGTTACTCTTTCTTTTAAAGATGAAGAATCTGAAGCTTAAGAGAGGTGGAGGAACTTAAAACCTAGCTAAATGTCAGAGCATGGATCCCTGGTCTTCTGATTTCAAAGTCTGACTCCTAAACCACTACCCTATCTAGCCTTTCTAAGAGGAATAACCTTTTAGAAATCCAGGAAGACACCTTAACTGTTTAACAGATTTTATGCTCCTGGCTATATGATATGTTGACTCTGCCATGGAACCATTTTATTATTAAGTAGATAACACAGACATCCTTACCACTGCCACTGACCTTCACGTTATCCCTGAGCCTCACCCTATCACTGACCCATAGAGGTTGAGAATGTGTTGGAGATAGAGTGAGGGAGGCTCAAGAATGGGTTGGGGTCAAGGATATCAGGTTACATATATATCCTTGTAGTAAAAAAGCAGTGTATTTCTCATCTTGACATGAATGAGTATCAAAACATCTTATGTGGGATTTATGTACATGATTCCTGAAATTTCTTTTTGCTCCCAAGCTAAACCCCTATCTCTGTTGCTTGTTACACCTTTCCCACTGTCCTGCTCACTGCAATCCCTCTAGTTGTCTGGGTGCTAAATCTTCCCTTTCATTTACTTTCCAGTAACAAGGGGACAATTTCTCCAGCCTTTTTATCTCTACCTATATTCTTTTATCTTAGGAGAGGTTAAAACATGGTAATTATGCTCCTCTTCTGATTCCTCCACTTCCTAGCTGTGTGACCTCGGGCAAATTACTTAGCCTCTGTGTACTTCAGTTTCTTTTTACATAAAATTGATGTAATAACAATACCTCATGGAGTGTCATGAGTATTAATTAGGATAGATATCATTTTACACACTGGTACATAAAAAGTAGTATAGCTGTACAATAGTATGACTGTCATTGTACCGAGGTTTTCTCCTCTCTCAGTTTCACCTCCCTATATTCTACACACACCCACCCCCCACTCTTCTAAAGAGTCCCCTGACAACCTTTTTCAGTAAACCCTGTGGAACCCTGAATCCTTTTAAAAGCCTTTTTCCCTGTTGCATTTTTATCTTATACTTTTTTCTTTTCCTCTGTCAACCTTTTTCTTATTCATGGTCTGTCTTCACTCATGAGGCTTGTATTTAATATAAAAATGCTCTGCAACTTTATCCGTACAGATGGGTGTAGATTTCCTGCTTCACCATACAAAAACAACTTAGAGGGTAGGCATGTGACTGGAAAAATTTTTCAACTCTGGCATACTATGCGAAATCAACTTCTTTAAAAACTGCAGTAATATGTTTCTTCAAATGTTAGTCCCCACACAGCAGTCCAGGGGCAAGGACTAGAAGGAAGGAGGGGACAGGAAAGCTGGTAATAGGGAGCCCACGGTCAAGAAAGGAGAGTGCTGTTATGTCCATAGGGTTGTTAACCAATGTCATAAAACAATGTGTACTGTTTAATGAGAAGGTCACACAGCTAGGAAGTGGAGGAATCAGAAGAGGAGCATAATTACCATGTTTTAACCTCTCCTAAGATAAAAGAATATAGGTAGAGATAAAAAGGCTAGAGAAATTGTCCCCTTGTTACTGGAAAGTAAATGAAAGGGAAGATTTAGCACCCAGACATCTAGAGGGATTGCAGTGAGCAGGACAGTGGGAAAGGTGTAAAGTACAATTAAAAAAATCTAAAAAAAAGAAAAAATGTAGCCCCTAGATAAATAAGATTTTGAAAAACTATGTGTCCTTTAAAAAGCCATGTTAAAAAGCAAAATAATAGAATATGTAGTAAATTACTCATTAGTTTTTTGTTGTAAACAAACAGATTGAATGATTTTCCCCCCCTCAGCTGCTAGAATTTATCTTTAAAAACCTTAATCTCTATAAATATATCATCATCTTCAAATTAAAAGTTCTCAGCTTTTAAGTTTGAGGTTTTCAGTAAAACTACATATAATGGATAGATATATGATAGTGGAAATTTCAGATGTTCTTAAGTCATCAAAGTTCATTGGGAAAGCAGCCCACACATTGTTCTTTAACACCCTGTATTTTTCCTTCATGACACATAAGGCAGTTATAAAGATGCTATTTGCTGTGTGATTTGTTTGATGTCTTTCACTACCCACCCCATCCACACTACCACTAGATTGTGTTTGATTTGCTTGCTACTGTACTATTCCACACCTAGAATTTATTGAGCACTTACTATATGCTAGGAACTGTTTTAAGCTTTGTATGTATTTACATAGTTAATCCTTCTGACAACCCTGTTAGTTAAGTACTGTTTTTATCCTCATTTTACAGAAGAGAAAAACGAGGCATGGACAGGTTAAATTAACTTGCCCAAGGCTACTCAGTTACTAACAGATAATGCCAGGATTCTAGCCCTGTCTAATCATCTCCAGAGCCCATGATTCGTTGAATATATGAATGCTGAAAGAATCAAACTAATCATTTTCTTCACCAAGATAAATATCATTGGAGTAAAGAAAGGGACCTGGAGTCATGTGTTAACCTTTGTTCTTTATATAAACCTTGTTCTGTGGTTTTTCTGCCTTTTTTTTTTTTTTTTTTTTTTTTTTTTTTTACTGTTTGTCTTAGTTATCTAGTGCTGCTGTAACAGAAATACCTCAAAGTGGATGGCTTTAACAAACACAAGTTTATTCTCTCACAGTTTAGGAGGCTAGAAGTTCAAATTCAGGGCACCGGCTCCAGGGGAAGTCTTTCTCTCTCTGTTGGTTGTGGGGAAAAGTCCTTGTCATCAATCTTCCCCTGGTCTAGGAGCTTCTCAGCACAGGGACCCCATGTCCAAAGGACACATGCACTCCTGGCTCTTCTTGCTTGATGGTAATGAGGTCCCTCTCCTCACTTCTCTCTTTTATATCTTAAAAGAGATTGACTCACAGTATAACCTAATCCTAGAGATTATATCCTGCTTCCTGCGTCATTAACATGTTGTTGTTATTGTTAGGTGCCTTAGAGTCAGTTCCAATTCATAGCAACCCTATGCACAACGGAACAAAACATTGCCTGGTCCTGCACCATCCTCACAATTGTTGCTATGCTTGAGCCCATTGTTGCAGCCACTGTGTCAATCCATCTCGTCGAGGGTCTTCCTCTTTTTTGCTGACCCTCTAATTTACCAAGCATGATGTCCTTCTCCAGGACTGATCCCTGGTTGAGGTGTAATCCATACTGAAGGCTGTGGTCTTTGATCTTCATCAGTAAGTGCTTCAAGTCCTCTTCACTTTCAGCAAGCAAGGTTGTGTCATCTGCATAACGCAGGTTGTTAATGAGTCTTCCTCCAGTCCTGATGCCCGTTCTTCTTCATAGAGTCCAGCTTCTCAGATTATTTGCTCAGCATACAGATTGAATAGATATGGTGAAAGGATATAACCCTGATGCACACCTTTCCTGACTTTAAACTATGTATTTGAACGACTGCCTTTTGATCCCTGTACAGGTTCCTCGTGAGCACAATTAAGTGTTTCAGAATTCCCATTCTCTGCAGTGATATCCGTAATTTTATTACGATCCACACAGTTGAATGCCTTAGCATAGTCAATAAAACACAGGTACACATCTTACTGGTATTCTCTGTTTTCAGCCAGGATCCATCTGACATCAGCAATGATAACCTTGGTTCCATGTCCTCTTCTAAATCTGGCTTGAATTTCTGGCAGTTCCCTGTGGATATACTGCTGCATCTGCTTTTGAGTGATCTTCAGCAAAATTTTACTTGCATGTGATATTAATGATACTGTTCAATAATTTCCACCTTCAGTTGGATCATCTTTCTTGGGAATAGGCATAAATATGGATCTCTTCCAACTGGTTGGCCAGGTAGCTGTCTTCCAAATTTCTTGGCATAGACAAGTGAGTACTTCCAGCGCTGCATCTGTTTGTTGAAACATCTCAATTAGTATTCCGTCAATTCCCGGAGCCTTGTTTTTCACCAGTGCCTTCAGTGCAGGCTGGACTTCTTCCTTCAGTACCATCGGTTCCTGATCATATGTTACCTCCTGAAATAGTTGAATGTCAACCAATTCTTTTTGGTATTAACAAAACTCATTAACATAACTGTCTCTAATCCTGCCTCATTAATATCACAAAGGATTTACAAGCATAGGATAAATACATCAGATCACAAAATGAAGGACTACCACACAGTACTGGGAATCATGGCCTGGCCAAGAAGAAACACATTTTGGGGGGACACAATTCAATCTTTAACACTGTTGGTTTGGATTTCTAACGACTTGTTTCAGGTGAAAGAGAAATGGAGAAACAACACTGGTTTTGGATCTTATCATATCTTGTATATTAAATTAAGGTGTGTGCTTACAAGTAATGACAATGAATTGGGTACATAAGTAGAATTCTATTTATTGGCTTTGTAACTATAATTACAGTTTAAGTTGAAAACACTTTTGAAAACCAGCCGTAGTTTAAAAATACTTGAAACCAAATCTATTTGACTCCTAAAAGTAATTTCAAGTGATTGGTTCAATAAATAAATTTGGTCCCAGCTACTGATATCTTATATATGTAAGCACATGAATATTTTTGTTGGTGTTGCAAAATTGTTATTTAGAAACTGCTGTGCTTTTTTCAGAACTCAGTGAAATATGATGTACTGGCACAAAACATAATGTTATTAATCTTGATATTGCAAAATCTAAAACCAAACTTACAAAGTAAACCATATAATAAGTGTTCAAGAAACAAGCTTGGGCATTCAGCTAGGAACCTTTGAGACAAATTGTCTTTCATCAGTAACTAGAAGAAAAGAATGGAGAGAATGAACTATATGTCTTTTGTTGGATTACAAGTATACAAAGCACCACAAGGAGTAACAGAAACCAAGATAATTATTCATTTATGTTTTGATTTGACCACCATTTGAGAGGCTGAGAATGTTCTACATATTTCAATTTAATTCTCTTCACTATGGTCTTGTGAGGTCAACTCTGAGCTAGGGAGAGAGGAGAAAAAAAGAATACAATGTAAAAGAAGAGAGATGTGTTGTAATCCAGAATCAGCAGTTGGCTTTGAGGAAAGGGCACTGCATAACACCACAGCTCTGTGATTCCAACCCTCTGTGGACCAGGCCTGGGCGGGCAAAAGAGGAAAGTGGAATTTGCATTTAAAACGTGACAGTGGTTTTGTATGTGGTAGTGGCATGTACGTTCTACTCTGCCTATTTTGCTTTACCATATCTTACACCTACTTAAGTAAAAAGAATTATATCAGAGCAAAGCAGCCCAGATGGCCTGGTAATAGCTATAGTCGGAACCATCCCAAGAAAAAATATCCATGCATCTCCCACCCACGCCCATGCCATGCAATTGATCTGGGTGATTGAGAGAAAGGTGAGAAACACAGAACCGAGAATCTGGAATTTGTTTTGACCTTAACTTTTTTTTTTTTTTTTTTTTCTGATTTTAAGAATAATGTATGCTTCCTGTTGGAGGCTTGGAAATCCAGAATAGTATATAAAATTTAAAAATCATATTTTCTCTCTTATGTGTATGTAAAGCTATGTGTATGAAAGAGAGTGATATTTACAATGGATCATATAGAATATATTATTTTGTGTCCAGCTTTATTCATTTAATATTATAGGATGAAAAGTATCTCCAAGTCATTAGATATTCTTCAAAAGTGTGATTTGTTTTTTTGGTAGCTGAATAATTTGCAGTCTAAGGACTGTCCCTTAATTTATTTACATATTCCCTTATTGGGAACATTCCTTTTTTTTTCTACTCAACAATATAGTGAACATCCTTTCTTTTTCTATTTATTTATTTAGAATCTATTTCTAGAATTAACTTTTAGCTCAAATCATATTAACATTTGGAGGCGCTAGTGACATATTTTCAATTGTTTCTGCTAAACTTGATCCAGCTTATACTCTCACTGGCACTGAGAGTGTGGATTGGAAACAAAATTTTAAAGACAGGTGAGTAGTTGGATTCTAGATGTTTATAAGTTGCATTTTTATTTCCTTCTTCAGAATGGAGAACACCTCATATGTTTAACCATCACCACCACCCCACGGGATTCATTCAACCTATTGAATGTCTACTGTGTCCCAGATACTCTGTGCTAGGCTCTGAGTGTACAGTATACAGCAGTGTAGGTAAGCAACGAAGCAATAATGCCATGTGAAGAGTGCTATGAGTGGGGAGTACAGTTGCTGTAGGAATACCTAAGAAGCACACTGTCGTGGACTGAACTGTGTCCCTCAAAAATATGTGGCAACTTGGTTAAGCCACAATTCCCAGTATTATGTGATTGTTCTCCATTTTGTGATCTGATTATCCTTCACTTTATGATATATTGTAAATCCTAGCCTCTATGCCTGTGGTTATGGGCCCATTTGGGAGTGAGCTGTCCGTTATGTTAATAAGCCATGATTAGGCCATGTTAATGAAGATTAGGGTGGGATACAACACCCTCACTCAGGTCACAGCCCTGATCTGATGTAAGGAGAGTTTCCCTGAGGTGTAGCCTGCATCATAAAAGGAGACAGAAGTGAGCAGAGAGAAAGGGACCTCACTGCCACCAAGAAGAAGAATCGGAAGTGAAGCACGTCCTTTGGACCCAGGGTCCCTGCACTGAGAAACTCCTAGACCTAGGGGAAGATCGATGACAAGGACCTTCCCCCAGAGCTGACAGAGAGAGAAAGCCTTCCCCAAGAGCTGGCACCTTAAACTCAGACTTCTAGCCTGCTAAACGGTGAGAGAATAAATTTCTGTTTGTTAAAGCCATCCACTTGTGGTATTTCTGTTATAGCAGCACTAGATAACTAAGACAGGCACCTCACCTGAACTTGAGGGCCTGTGGGAGGCTTCTTCAAGGAAAGAACAGCTGAGGGAATCTTGAGGGATGAATAGATATTAGTCAGGTACAGTGCCAGGAATGAGCATTATAAAATCCACCCTGTTACCGCAGGAATCTAAAGAAACTTCTTCCATTTTTCCTAAAAGCCTACTTTATTAATGATGATATTGTGATGCTTTGAGGTAGGACTGGCATAGCAAGCAAACATTTACAACTAGAGTTAAACCTTTTCTATATCTGACTTTGACTGGCTCTTGATTCCTGCTACTTAACTTACTTTCCCTGCTCTCAGCTGGGATCCTGCATGGTCTGTAAACCAGTCATGTTTAAATACTGGGATTGCTATGCCTGGCTCAAACTTATTTTTCAGTGCTAGTGTATTTGAGGTATTTCGATTGCGTTCCTTAAGTATGCTGTCAAGTTTTGCAACTTTGCTTGACACTGGGCTTAAATCTGTATGCAGAAACCAGGCATGAGCTCTTCACCTGACAATCCAAAAAAAAGTCAAAAACCACAAAGATAAATCAGCACATTCAGTATGCACAGAGACTGCACAATTATGCATACTGTATGTGGAGAAATTATGAGTTATAAAATGTACCTGTTGGGTAAACCATTGGTCATAGCTGAGGATAATAGGCTAGGAGGACTGGAACAGGTGTTTTTCTACTCCTGTTCTTTTTCATAAACCCAGGTCATAGACCAACAGTGCTTCAGGAGGCAAAATAGCATGGTGCACAGTTACAAGTCCCAACTCTAGCATCGGGTTTGAATCCCACCATGGCCACTTATAAACTGTGTGACCTCAAGTCACTCAGTCTTTCTAAGTTTTCATTTCTCTTTTGCAAAATGGAAATAATAACACCTTCTGTATTAGGTATTGTCTAAGCTGCTGTAACAAAAGGAACCAAAAATAATAAAGGCTTAAACAAGATAAAAGTTAATTTTACCCTCACAAAACATCTCAGACCTAGGCAGTACATGCCTGGTTAGGCAGCTCTGCCATCCTCAATACAAGACTTTCATCTCTGGGTCCAAGGTGGCTGCTCCAGCTACATGATCACAGCTGCATGCATGCCTGTGGGAGGGGGAGAAAAGAACAAATGAAGCACACGCCCATTCCTTTAAAGGCCACAACCTGGAAGTGGCACACTTCATTTCTGCTCACATTCCATTGGCCAGAATTCAGTTACATAACCATGTCCACACATATATATATATTACATATATATATATATACACACACACATATACGTTTATATTTATATATATACATATACATTTATATATATATAAAGGGAGCTGGGAAATGTAGTCTCTGACTGTTAGTAAAACTCAGTCTATTATAAAAGAAGAAAGGAAGAATGGATATTGGTGGTCAAGTAGCAGCATGTGCCATACCAGCCTCCTGGGGTTCTTGGGAGGTTTGAGGGAGATGATGTGCACTGTAAGTGTTAACTATCAGCATTTTTTAGACCACTGCTCTTAAGCCACATGTGACTCTTACGTGCGGCTGCAGCTGTTGAACAGATACAGAAAATGTTGTGTTAAGATATACTGTACACACCCAATAAAGTATGTTACAGTTAAGAGACTGCTTTGGCCTCTGGCCACTGCACATGTGGCTCCAGGTCACAGTGTGATAAACAAGCACTAACCTCTGCCCTAAACCAAACTTTTCTTTTCCACACAACCTTCGTCTCAAAACATATTTATTTAACAAACACATTGCTCCACTATGTCCCAGGCTCCACTCTAAGGGATTTTTCCAATATTAAGCCTATTTAACCCTTATAACAACCCAATAAGGTATGAACCCCTGTTATCACTATCTTCACTCTACAAATGAGGACACTGATACACAGAAAAGTTAAATAACCTCCCCCAAAGTCACATAGCTATTTATGATGGGGTCACGTTTCAAACTAGGCATTCTGGCTCCACAGGTCACATATCAACTTCTACATTGTACTGCCTGCAACCAAGTGGGCAGGAAGACACCAAGATCTAGGGTGAGTGTTCCACATTCTTAGAATATAACTAAGCATTGTACCACCTCCAGCTAACCTGAAGACCTGGTTTTATGGAAAGCACATTCATGTAAACGAATAGTGAAATCCATGTCTTGCAGCCACATAACCGAGAAAGACCACAGGAAAATAACATTCCAGATCATCTTTGAAAGAAAGACTAACAAGTGCTTATGGATTTGGGCTATAACAGCGTTGCAGGCCTAGAGAGCCACATGGGACTGGGGAAAGTCAAAGGAGGTGATAAGAGGGCTGGAGAAGAGGTGGCTTACAGTGACAGCAGGGATGAAGGGGAGGTATAAGATCCTCAGCCTCCTCTCCTTCCTGACAGCCAGGACGGGCACAGCTCAAACTTCTAAGACAGTCCAAGAAATATCCCTTGGGATACCATCTCCTTTAACAGATTCATAGTTCCCACCAGGCAAGAGGGTCCATTGACCTGTATCATCACTTATATGAAACCGTTGCTACAGACATGTGGACATACACAGATTTGATTCTGAGACATTGTGGCACGAAGCAAAATTTTCTGTATTGTAGCAAGGGCAAAAAATGATCACCTCGAGCAAGCAGAAAACAAAAGTCTATTTATTTTCTTAAAATGTAAAATTGTAAAGCCACAACATACAATATATGCATTATATATTTATTGACTAGCTTGCCTTCTGAGAGCAATCATCCAAATTTGCCCAATTTATCCCTCCTGGTCCTCCATTTTTTTTGTGCTTTGCCATATCCCTCTCTCATTTTTCTACTTAACAAGCACTAGCTTAATTCTCTTGAATCATGTACTGGGACTTCATCTTTCCCAAACCCATCCCTCCCAGTACTCTACCTACCAGTGAATATACCACTGTTACCTTTCTTCTGCCTGGCCTCTGACATGTGAAACAACTTACCTGATGGATGACTTATAGACGATTCACTAATAGAACTTGTAAAGGGGGCACTTCTTTAACTTAATGCCCTTTTACTCTCTGCCTCCTCAAAGTATAGAAGCCCATGGCTCTGCCTATGGGCCTGTAGTTTACCATGTTACCTTCTCAGGTAGGCCTTTCCCGACCACCTTATATAGTTTTACAGCCTCCCATGGCATTCCCTTCATGCCTTCCCTGCTTTATATTTTATCCATGCCACTTTTCACCTTCTAACGTAGTATGTGACCAACTTAATTTATTATCTATCCCCTCTGACTAGAACAGAAGCTCTAGGAGGATATGGTTGTTTCGTTTTGTTTTCCTGCTTATCCTCAGCATCTAGAGCAGTTTCATGGCTCTTAGTAGGTATTTCAATAAACATTTGTTGACTAAAAAAACAAACAAACAAATTAACTAATGGGTGAGGATAAACCATATTAGAAATAAGCAGAGTAGGTAACCATTTGCTTTAAGGGACTACAGACAGAATTTGATAAGACCCCTTGCTCTTATACGTTATACCTTTCTGTTCACTTTAAAATATATATTTCTTTAAAGCCTTAAAGTTTTCCCGTATTTAAGAGTCCTTTTTTAAAAAATAAATTTATGACCGTCATCACGAGATCCCTGATATGAACACCGAGAAGGACACAATGTCATTTCTGTGGCATTTCTGCCCAAAGATGCAAAATCTGAATCTAATCCTGAGGAAACACCAGACAAACCCAAATTGATGGACATTCTACAAAATAACTGGCCCGTGCTTTTCAAAATATCAAGGTCGTGAATGACAAAGCAAGCCTGTGGAAGTCTTCCAGTTTAAGAGCCTCTGAAGAGACATGACAACTAACTACAAAATGTGATCTGAGACTGGGTCCCAGAACAGGGGGAAAGGGTCCAAAGAATATTATTGGGGCAATTTATGAAATTTAATATGAACTATAAATTGAACATGGACAATGATATTGTATCAATGTTAAATTTCCTGGTTTTGATAATTGTACTATGGTTATGTAAGAGGATATTTTTGTTCTTAGAAAATATACCTTGAAGTATTTAGTGGTCAAACAGGGCATAATGTCTGTAACTTACTCTCAGATGGTTCAGGGAAAAAAAAAAATATGTGTGTGTGTGTGTAAAGAGACAGCGATCAAGAGATAGAGTAAACGGGGCAAAATTTAAACAACTACTGAATCCAGGTAAAGGGTAAAATAGAATTCTTTGTACTGTTCTTGTAACTTTCTATAATTTTAATATTATATTAAAGTAAAAGTTTACCAAAGAAGTATAAATATTCGTACCAGTTGCTGTTGAGTCAACTCTGACTCATGGAGACCCCATATGTGTCAGAGTACGACTGTGCTCCATAGGGTTTTCAATGGCTGATTTTTCAGAAGCAGATCACCAGGCCTTTCTTCTGAGGTGGACTTGAACATCCTACCTTTGAGTTAGCAGCCAAGTGCATTAACTGTTTGTACCACCCGGAGACTCCCTGAATATATTCCCAAGAAAACCATTGCTGTCCAGTCAATTAGTGACCGTATAGGAGAGTAGAACTGCCCCATGGGGTTTCCAAGGCTGTAATCTTTATGGAAGCAGAATATCACTTCTTTCTCCCATGGAGTGGTTTGTGGGTTCAAACCACCAATCTTTCAGTGTGCAGCCAAGTGCTTTATGCACTGCGCCACCAGGAATCCTTAAATATGTTCCTAGAAGGGGTCATGTATAAGACTGTCTCAGCTTATACCTGTAGCTCACTGAGAGCAGAATGGGGCGAAGATTGGCCTTATATGGAAGTCAAGAAGTAGCAAGATCAAGAAAAAGAAAGATGAGGAAGTGGGGGCCATCTAAATCAAACTACATCACAATTTTGCTTTGGACCCAGTGATTTTTTTCAGTAGGAACAAGTTAAGACACAAAGATATAAGTTCAAAAGTAGGAAGATATAAATATGAAGTTAGCCAGTCAGGCTACACAGAGAAATGGCTATATGATTTTCTTAATTCTTGTGTATATTATGAGTTTTAATGTGTTAATACTTACAAAACCCTGAGAGCATCTGACGAAAAGTACTCTTCTGTTAGTTTAGATTATTATCCTAAGGGTAAGGAATTCCTTGACAATGAACATTTGTTTCTGACTTTTTACTGTATAATTAGTCGGTATTAGTTTTGTAATTATCAGCTATTATCTTCAGAATGGTCACTGATTTTTTTTTTTTTCTTTGAGAATTTGGGAAGAGAGAGTTTTTTTTTTTTAATTGTACTTTATGTGAAGGTTTACAGAACAAATAGTTTCTCATTAAACAGTCAGTACACATATTGTTTTATGATATTGGTTAACACCCCCACGACATGTCAACACTCTCCCTTCTCGACCTTTTTTTTTTTTTTTTTTGGTGAAAATATACATAGCCAAAGATACACAATTTCAAAAATTTCTACATGCACAGTTCAGTGACATTGATTACGTTCTTCCAGTTGTGCTGCTATTCTTACCTTAGATGAAGGTTTACAGAACAAAATAGTTTTTCATTAAACAGTTAGTACACATGTTGCCCTATGACAATGGTTAACAACCCCACTACATGTCAACACTGTCCTTACCCAACCTTGGGTTCCCTGTCACCAGCTTTCCTGTCCCCTTCTGCCTTCTAGTCCTTGTCCCTGGACTGCTGTGCCTCATTAGTCCCATTTTGTTTTATGGGGCTGTCCAATCCCCAGCTGAATGGTGAAAATGGTCCCTGATTTTATGGCAGCCTTTGGTGGTGTTTGGAACATGACTATCTTGCTGTAGGAGCGTGTAGTTAGGTTCAGAGATTGTTATGTATATTGTTCTGTTGACAGGAGCCCCAACAGCACAAGTCTTGGTATCTAAATTTAATTAAGTGCAGGAAACTTACTCTGCCTTAAAACAGCATGCATTCCTCAAACAGTCTGTTATCTAAGTATCTATAGTAAAAATCAATTATAAAGTAAACTCTGAACAAAGGGTAGTATCATGATGTTGGAAAAGGGCAGAGACAGCTGAAGCCCACAACAAACAAAACCAGCCAAAACCAAACCCCTTGTCATCGAGTCAATGCCGACTCATAGGAACCCTGTATGACAGAGTAGAATTACCCAAGGGGCTTTCCAAGGCTGTAATCTTTACAGAATCATACTGCCACATCTTTCTTCCACAGAGCAGCTGGTGGGTATGAACCATCAGCCTTTCAGTTAGCAGCCCAGCGCTTAACCACTATGCCAAAAAAAGGTGCCCAAAATTCCAGCCACCAAGACTCTTCACACACCATAATAAACCCCACAAGGAGATTTGATCTAAGTAGTAGTAAGTAAGTAGTAAATGGGTAATAGATTTGATTAAGTAGCTAACTGCAGGCCACATGAACAGAGGATTCAACATAAATTTATGGTCAAAAGCATTGCATTGAGCTTGGGGAGGAGAGAGGGATATGGTTTGTACCAGAAAAGGCATGTGCC